TGTGTTGTTTTGTTTTTTTCTTTGAAATACTTGCAAAATAGGGGCAATAAAAGACATAATTTCAGACCAAGAGAAAGGAAGAATCAAATTGTTCTTGAATTAAGACCCATTGGTGACAATCATAAAGTCACGTGAGATACGTGAAGCGGGGCCTCCCTCTAAGTTAAGCTGTTCATTATATTGCATTGCCTATGAATTGTGCCAGAGTAGTAGAGTCAGCACTAGTCCAAACATCAGGAGAATTTGTTTTTACTCTTGGCTGGGCTACTAACAAAGGGTGACACCTTGCTTGAGTGACTACACTCCTCAGGGTATTATTTGAAAGAGGTGCAGTGGGGGAGGGGTGGAGACCCTTTAGTTCTAAAGTTCTTGGACTATCATGTAGGCCTTGAGGAGATTGGGTTAAAAAGCTCCAACAGTGGCCAGGTGCGGTGGCTCATGCCTGTAATCCCAGCACTTTGGGAGGCCGGAAGCAGGCAGATCACCTGAGCTTAGGAGTTCAAGACCAGCCTGGCCAACATGGTGAAACCCCATCTCTACTAAATATACAAAAATTAGCTGGGCATGCTGGCGCGTGCCTGTAGTCCCAGCTACTTGGGAGACTGAGGCAGGAGAATCGCTTGAACCCGGGAGGCAGAGGTTGCAGTGAGCCAAGATTGCGCCACTGCACTCCAGCCTGGCGACAGAGCGAGACTCCGTCTCAAAAACAAACAAAGCTCCAACAGTATTTGCATTAGTTCCTTGAATAACCAAAACACTGGTGAGTCCCTGCTACTCCCCAAACCCATTGAGTTATCTTGATAATTTCCTGATCTCCTCATAGATTTAATATTTTTCATCCAAGGATGAAGGTCTGTAAAGTGACAGGACTAGATTTTAATGAGATCTTCAGAAAACGAAAATAAGTAGGTTGGTGAAAAGATCCTTTTGGTTTTCCCCTTCTTCAGGACATTCTATATGGGTTCTGGGACCTCTTTTAAAAGTAAAGTATATTTTGGCTTCTGTAGACCGTGCCAATGCTCATTCTTATTAAATTAACCCAAGGGGCCCTGGGAACCTGGTTTCTCTGTCCTCCTATTCACATCTGCCAGAGAAAGAAAATAGTTGTTCTGTATTATTTTGCCTCATTATTCTTTCCTTTTAATGAATGTCTTAGTTACATTCTATAGAATTGCTGAGAAGAGGCTTGCCCGGGTTAGCTTTGATAACGGAGGTGCATTGCAAGGCTTGGAGGAAACATGAGCTGGCACCAGACGCATCCTGTCCCTCAGTGTTGCCGCCAGTGTGAGTGGAAATAGAGTCACTGGTCACAAAAACTGTCCACCGTTATGGGGCTCAGCCTAGACTCCACTTAGGATTTGATATTCCCCAGAGAGAGGAATCGATTGGGTAGAGTTGGGTCTTTTTACTGTAGAGCCCAATGATTGAGTGGTTTAATGCCAGCCCCTTGCTGGCTCCCCATGGTCAGTCAGGTGGGGATCCCGACCCCAGACAGTCATGGCCAGGTTAGCACAGTTGGCTTCCTCAGACATGTGCAGCATAAACCAAACCACCCTCATTCAGACCCTCTTTGGGGCTGCTTTCCTCAGAAAGGGACAGGGCATGTGGCTGGTTGGAGTTCACAGCCTCTTTGGTGTATTGAGTCATTGGCTCGGTCACTTTGAAAATCACACCAGAGCTGCAAGGACTGTTGGGAGCAGACTGCCTTGATGATAAGAGCATGAGAGAAGTAAAGATGCATTCTCTCAGGAGCAAAGCACCTCTGCTGACGCCCCACCAAGTGTTTAAGCCACAGCAGCCACTTCCTGAGTACACTGAGGTGGGCCCTGGCCTGAGACAGTGGGACTGTGGTCAGTTGACTCTCTGAAATGTCAGGGGAGCTCCCTGTGCCAGGCCTGAGACTCCAGAGCAGTGTGTGGTGTGTGAAAGAGACCCTCTGGCTGAGGATTTCAGTCCAGTCTTTCTTTGGTGTGTAGCAGTGGCTCTCAACCCTAGGGTCACATCAGCACCACTTGAAATGTTTGTTAAAGCTACAGATTATTGGGCCTTACCTCTGACCCACTGTATTCATGTCTCTCAAGAGGTGGAGCCAAGGCAACTGTAGTTTTTTTTAAAAAAAACAACAACAACAAAACAAACAAACAAAAAACCATGAACCAGACTTTTACTTCTGGGAAGACCAAGTAGATGCACTTGACCCTATACCTCCTGCTAAGTACAGCTGAAAACCCTAGACATTATATATAAAATCAACATCCGAAGGTTCTGAGAGGTGGAGAGAGGGCAGCCTGGCTAGGAACCTAGGGACCCACAAACTACATAGTTGTGAATTCCCTGGGTTTCTTTCACCTCATACATCCCAGATGCAGAGCTGAAGAAGCTGGCAACTCACACATGCCAGTAGGAACAGGCATAAAAGCCCCAACAAAAGCCTGCTCTCTCCAGCCAAAGAGGAGAAAAGGGGCAGCACAACAAGGCAGAAAACTGTCCACAATAACCACTCTCTTCCAGCCAAACAATCCACGGAAGACCGGCCGCACCGCCACCCAGGCCCCTGTGACTGAGCCGGAGCCCAGGCTTCCACCCTTGTTGGGCTGTAATGAGGTGCCCCAACACCCCCTCCGGTGGTGCCACCAAAGGCTGAGAAGGGGGCCAGGCCCTTCTTCCCTGCCAGCTGGTAACGAGTGTCCCGCACCACCCTTCTCGCTCCCGTTTCCCATGTGGTGTCTGTGGAGAAGCTACACTTCTACCGCTGACCTGCAGTCATGAAGCCACTGACTGTGTATGTTGTCAGTGGATGCCATGTGGGAACTCCAAGGTACCCCTACCCCTAATTGGAAGCCCAGTGGGAACCTAGAACTCCCGCCCACACCCAGCAGTAATGAGGAGCTTGCTTCCCCTGTGTATCAGCAGAGGCCGAGTGGGAACCCAGCCTTAACTCCCTTCTGGGGGTAATAAGGTGGCATCCTACTCCTTCCCCTGTTTAGTATCACAGTAAGACAGTGAATACAGAAAGTTTAAATAACATCTAGAGTCTTACAATACTCAAAATGTCTAGGCTTCAATTGAAAATCACTCACTTTACCAGGAATGAGGAAAATCTCAATTTCTATGAAGAAAAGACAATCAATTGGTGCTAACACCAAGATAACAGAGATGTTAGAATTATCTGACAAAGATTTTGAGAGAGCCATCACAAAAATGCTTCCACGAGCAGCTATAAAAACTTTTAAAACAAATGAAAAAGTAGAGTCTCAGCAAAGAAAAAGAAACAATCAAATAGAGATATTAGAACTGAAAAATACAATAGCTAAAATAGACTCAATAGATGGACTCCAGAGCTTCATACACATTGCTAACTGCATTGAATTAAAAGTGCAGGTAGAATATGCGGTTATGGCTAGAGATGTGACTTAATTTAATATTTATGTTGTAAAGATTTTGCCCTGAGATCAAACCATCTTTTAAGCATATTATTATATTCTGCTGTTTGAAGGATTACTATGGAGAATGATGATATTGGATGTTTACAATATGCATGCAGGTATTTGGGCTTTAACTCTGAAAAATTTCAGTGCATCAGTTGGAAACCAGCCTAATGTGTGCTCATTATGAGGTCATTAAAAAAAGTGCTATAAACCAATCTGCTGGGTTAGGAGGAGTGTCATGGCTGGAACATTAAAAGGCTGCGTCTCTATACCATGCTGATCAGGGATCCAGTTCATTTTACCAGGTTTGGCGGGGATCACTGTTAAGTAGAATACATACAAAGAAAATTCACTATGGTAGCAGGTAGTCTGGAAAACTTGTCTAGTGAGGGATGTTTACAAAACCTGGGATTATTTAGTATAAAGATGTTCTGGACTTGCTGTGTTTATGTATTTGAAGGGGTTCTTGCTTAGAAAAGAGATTAGTTTGTGTTGCTCCAAATAGGTAGTTCATATATTAAAATTTTATAGGGTAGTCAGTAGCAATTATAGGAATTATCTTTTTAAAAAAATATTTAGTTTTTGGCTATAACTGAAGTTTTGTTGTCTATAAAACAATGTTTGATATTGGATGTTTTTAAACCAGTCTAAAATCCACCTCTATGGATTGTATTGGTATTGAATCAAAATCAAAAGCAGGAATTAAATGTGTGTGTGTGTGTGTGTGCATGCACGCGTGCACTTATGGTGTTTGGGTAAAGCTGCTGACAATGCTTCTTCCTAATGTCACTGCAAGAGCCTGGACATGATCTCCACTAGTCCCAGGTGGGGGCCTAACAACCTCCAAAGCCCAGTATGTTTAGAGAGTGGCCACCCTGTGTATTATCTCTGAGAAATCCATATAGCTAAAAGCATTCAATTAATCCACTGTATACCCTTTGCCTTTTCCCCCTTCTTGAGTCCTTCTTTCATAAACGAATGTGTTCTTTCGTAATTTCCCTGGACAGCAAAGTCTCTCTGACAAAGGCCGATGAAGGTAGAGCAGGATTCTCTGTCTCTGCACCTGGAGGTTGGACCTGTGGGGGTGTCATTGGCCACTGACCCTAATGTCCCCCGACAATGGGGTGCTTCTCACCTCAGCAAGCACTGCAACTTTCCTCCAACTCCTCATCCCCAGCCTAGAGGGTCTCTTTTGTGTTCACCATAAGTTAGGTTTACAGCCAGAATGAATAGCCTCTTTGCGGTCACTCTGCAATTGTACCAATTAACCTACCTGGCTTATCTGGAGCTCCACACTACACCACCACTTCACCCTCTGTATTCCCTGAGGCCTTCTTGGCTTCTGCCTGCCCTCTGAGCCCTGGAGAGACATTCTCCTAAAGTGCTTGGAGGAAACTGATCAGACTAAACACTTGACATCTTCTACTCATCCTTTTGGAGCAATCAACTCCAGGCCTCTTAGAGGGAAAAAGTCAGGTCAGGAGCAAAATGCATGTGTTTGCATAAGTATGCATAGCTCAATGTGTGCCCTGGTTCTGTAACTGAGGACAAGCCTAACTTATTCATTTACAGCTTCTTTTATTGCAGAAAAAGGAATGGACATGGGATGAGAGCAAGATGCTGGTGATGCAGGACCCTATCTACAGGTAAGATATCACTGAGCCCCAGAGTCCCCCTGCCCTCTCCTACAGCCAACCCTGTCAGGCTGGTGGATCCAGGCAAATTTAAATAAACTTCTGTGCTTTTCCCTCCTGAGACCTGTTGCTTCCATTAGATGTGAGTACAAGAAGTAAATCTGCCTTATCATTCTGGTCATGCTTGATTGCATTAAGGAAGCTATGGAGTATTTCTGCTTGATGTTTAATTTAAACCTCTCGGTTGTAATTGGAGACATTTTAAATTTGTGCTAGTGTTGTCCTAACTGAAATTCTAAAATTGCATATATATTGATCGAAATAAGAAAACTGGGTTATTCCATCACCCTATGCTAACAATTTCCCACAGTTATCTCTTCCACCTCTCTGCCCCTTCAGAAATTGAGCATAGTAATAAGAGCTTTGTGATCATGCAGGAAATTGAAAGTCACAAATGTATCTCCAGGTCTGAATGCTTTTGTCTCCCCAAAATTTGTATGTTGAAATCCTAACCCCCAAGATAGATGGAATTAGGAGTTCAGACCTTTGGAGGTGATTAAGTGATGAAGGTGGGGCCCTTATGTTTGGGATTAGTGAACTTACATTATAAAAAGATGCCCCAGAAAACTAGCTAGCCCCATGGTGATGTCCTTCCCCTATGGGAAGACACAGCTGAAGGCGGGCCCTCACTAGATGCCAAGTCTGCCAGCACCTTAATCTTAAACTTCCCAGCCTCCAGGACTGTGAAAAATAAACTGTTATTTATAAGCCAGCCAGTTTCTGGTATTTTATTATAGTAGACCGGACTGAGACACACCCAGAAATTGCTTTTACAAGGAGACTGATTCCTCTAGAGATTAGATGGCTGCCAGTCATGTGTATTGTCCTGGGCAGAAGAATATCATATAGCAAGAACATGTAGAAAGCCAGGCTCTCCCAGGAACCATGGCAGGAGCTCGAGTCATGGGTGTCATTCTTGTATCCTGGATCTCTGCAGACCAAGCCCCACCTCCTTCCTGTTTTCCTCATTGGAAGAATGGCCATTTCTTTAGGAATTTGGGGACCTAGACTTAGGTTTTGATTTTGTCTGCTTTCAAATTATTGCCATGCTTTTGTTGACAAAGTGGATAAGGGTTGGAACTCAACGTATGAAGTTGGCAGCATGGTGGCCCTGCCTTTTAAAGAGCAGATGCTTGTGAAATGGAATGTCCATTCATCCAAACAATGTGCAGGTGTGAAATACTCATGCCAGGTACTGTGCTGGGTAATTTCATAGATTACTAAACTAAATGAGTTGCAGTCCCTTGTTCTCAGGGAGTTTTAGACTAGTGGGAAATGGACAAGTCACTGAGGTATAAGATAGTATGTCTGACAAAATGAATTTATCCCCCTGTGTTCCTGTAGTACTGTTTAATGTTTTTTGAAATAGTTGTTATAGTGTTTCTGTTACTTTCTTAAAAAATAAATGTCAGTTTTTTGCCACTAGCCTGTTAGGCTCTTGAGGGAAAAATCTATGCCCTTCTACTCACTTTTGTATATCTAGCGCCACACCTGTGTCTGGCCCAAATGAAGCACTTAATATATGTGCAATGGGTGAATGGATAAATGCATTGAATTAATATCTGAAAATTAAGTGTTATGGTGATTCACCGAAGGGAACAATTACCTTCTACTTGAGTGATGAGAAAAGGCTTTAAGAAACAGATTACATCAGAAGCTGCCTTGAAGAATGTGAATGGACAGGCGTCTATGATATGCATTTTGTAAAAGGAAGAGTTTCTTGGCTTTATTTTTTTAATGCTGGCACCGTATATGGACAAAAGTGACCTCCTTATGGATGCTGATCATGAGTCTGAGTTCTGCCTTTTGCTGGTTGAAAGAAAGGACTTTCCCCAAAGTTTTCACATATCCCAAGTAAGCTGCTGACTTTGCTTATTTTTAGCAGCTTCATTGAGGTATAATTGGTATGCAAAAATCAAACATATTTAAAGTTGAATAATTTGGTGAATAACTCTCATTCAAGATGGTGAACATATCTATCACCTCAAAAGTTTCCTTGTGCTTTTTTGTAACCCTTCCCTCCTCATTTCTCTCCCATTTCGTCCCCAGTCTCAATCCCCACGTTCCCAAGCTACCACTGATCTCCTTTCTGTTATTGATGAGTTTGCATTTTCTAGAATTTTGTATAAATAGAATCAACAGTATATCCTCTTTTTTGGGAGGAGCTGGCTTCTTCCACTCAGCATAATTTATTTTGAGATTCATTCTTTATCATTGCATGTATCAGCAGTTCATCCCTTGTTATTACGGAACAGTGATCTGTTTTATAGGTATATCACAGCTTGCCTAGCCATTCATGTGTTCATGGACATTTTGATGGTTTCTGGTTTGGGGCTATTACTATTAAAGCATCTATGAATGTTCGTGTAATGAACATTTGTTCATTATGTTCAAGTCTTTGCGTGGACATACGCTTTTATTTTTCTTGGGTAAATACTCAGGAACAGAGTGGCTGAGTCATATGGTAGGTATACATTTAACTCTTAAAGAAATTGCCAGATTGCTTTCTAAAGGGATACCACTGGTGATATACAAGAGTCCCAATTCCTCCGTATCTGCCAACATCCAGAATTGTCAGTCCTTTTAATTTTAGCCCTTCCAATATGTGTTTATTAATATCTCATTGTGGTTTTAATTTACTTTTTCCTAATGACTAATATTAAATATCATCTTTTTGTTTGTTTTGAGGCAGGGTCTTACTCTGTCACCCAAGCTAGAGTACCAGTGGTGTAATCACAGCTCACTGCAGCCTCAACCTTCTGGGCTCAAGCAATTCCCTCACCTCAGCCTTCTGAGTAGCTGGGACTACAGATGTGTACCATCACACCCAGCTAATTTTTAAATTTTTTGTAGAGACAGAGTCTCACTGTGTTGTGCAGGCTGGTCTTGAACTGTTGAGCTCAAGTGAACCTTCCACCTCAACCTCCCATAGTGCTGGAAATATAGACGTGAGCCACTGCACTCAGCCTTCTCTTGATCTTACATGGCATTTGTATATATATATTTTAAGCATCTGTTCAAATCTTTAGCCCATTTTGTTTTCATAATCTTGAAAGTTCTTTGTAAATTATGGATATAATACTTTTTATCAAGTATGTGATTTACAAACATTTCCTCCAAGTCTGGCTTGTCTTTTTTTTTTTTTTTTTTTTTTTTTAGTAGTGTCTTTTAAAGAGCAAAAGTTTTAAATTCTGATGGAGTCCGGTTTGTCAATTTTTAAAATTTTATTGATTGTGCTTTTGGTGTCATAGCTAAGAAATCTGTATGTAAATCAAGGTCACAAAGATTTTTCTGTTCTCTTCTACAGCATGAAGTTTAAATTTAGGTTTTATGTTTATGTGTATGATCCAATTTGATTCCATTTTTTATATGGTATGAGGAATGGATTAAAGTTCTCCTTCTCCTCCTCCCCCTCTTCCTTCTCTTCTTCTTTCTCCCTGTTCCTCTCTCTTTCCCTCCCTCTCTGCAAATGGACGTCCAGTTGTTCTAGCCCTATTTGTTGAAAAGACTGTTCTTTCTCCACTATAGTGCCTTTGCTAAACATCAGTTATCCATATCTGTGAAGTTTATTTCTGGACTCTTTATTCTGTTCTATTTGTCTAATTGTCTGTCTTGACACTAGTACCATGCTGTCTTGATTACCATAGTTTAATAGTTCTTGAAATCAGGTAGTAAGAGTCTTTTTTTCTTTTTTAAAAAAGTTGTTTTTATTCAATTAGTATTAGTATTAGTATGTCTTTTTCCATCCATTCATTTTTAAGAAGAAATATTAGGGGGGACGGGGAAAGCCAAATACATTTTAAATGTTAAATGAATTTTTCTTTGGCCTCAAAACTCACACAGTAGGCTCTCTGATTGTTGATAGTCTTGTGGATGTCTTTCTAGTCTATCAAAATTTAGCAACTTGTGTTTAAAAACAAAGAAATAAACTTTAGCCACTGTGTTTTCAGTGTCCTGGGTACTTTTTAAAATATATTAAATTGTGATGTTTTGGTCTGTGTACATGTGAATTTTTATCTCTCTCTCTCTCTCTCTGTGTGTGTGTGTGTGTGTGTGTGTATGAGGACTTTTTTCTAAAATGTATATGGTCCACTTTATCATGAACAAGGATATTTATTATCATGATAATATGGTAACATTTACAAACGAGCTTTTCATGAGTACAGTTATTTTTCTGCCCTTAAGGGACCACTCTGGTTTGATTCACTAGCTCTGCTGAAGAATACATATAATTGTTTATGGCTTCATGAAACACTGGCTTACTGAAGTGTTCACTTTAGACGAATGAATTTTTTATTTTTTGTTAAGTCAAAATTTTTATTTAACTCTTTTGCATTATTCATATAGAATAACAGAATCACGTATTTTTTAATTGTGGTGAAATAAATATATATAACATAAATTTTGCCATTTTCACCATTTTTTAAGTGTACAAATCAGTGGCATTAATTACATTGATAGTCCTATGCACCCATCGCCACTATCTGTTTCCAAAACTTTTTTATCACTCCAAACAGAAACTCCATGCCCATCAAGCAGTAACTTCCCATCACCCCCTTCTCTTAGCCTCGGTCACCTCTAACATCATGGAATCTTAAGAGGTTAACAACACTATAGTGGACATCTGAACCAATTTCTCTTTTTTTTTTTTCAGTTTATCCTTTATTACAGTATACCTCTTTATCACAGGAAGTGATTCACTATTACAGTGTTCTTCATTAAGCAAAAGTAAATTTTTTTTATATATAATTGTTTTCCATTTATCCTAGCTCTTATCTCTGGAGCCACAAATATATATATCTTATTTCTCTTTTAAGTTAACCCAAGTTCTTGAAGCCATTCTTACTGTATTTTTCTAGACTTATTAATTTCATAAAACAGTATTTCGTCTTTAAAATGTTAGAGTTTAATAGAATATCCCAGATATTCTGTCTTACCAGTATAAAATGTGG